GGAAGATCCACCGGCCAGCGCAGACCACAGTACCGCGAGTGCAGGTGCACGCACGGATACCCTCACCTGGTTTAGCCCGCCGGTCGAGACGATTGCCCGGGGTGTGGCCGCTGAGCAGAGCCCAGCTACGTGGAGCCACAGGTGAAAGTTAGTTGCCAGCAAATGGACGCTAGGCGTAGTCTCACCTGCATGCAAGTAGGCGACCACTACGACCATCACGTGAACCCACCGCTGACACCCCTACACCCCAAACAGTCTACTTAATATTGACCGATTATGCGTCCGGATCAATTATTTAGAATTACGACATGGAGGTAGTGACCATGGAGTTGTTCAGAATCCGGATCCTAGCCTTATCATTTCCTCTCTGGGCATTTGGCTTTGCGATGACCGAGCAATGCCCACTAACTTCCCAATTAACCATACTGTCGTTTCACACTTTTAATTACAGAATTTTTCGAGTCTGTTTTTTGCGCTGACCGGCTATTAGTAACGCTGAACTGTCAATTTCTTGTATTTAACCCAGAAGGCAGTTTAACCGCTTAATTTTCAATATTTCCTTGGCATCTTTGCTTTGTGCTAACAGGTGGCGCTGATGTCACTACTCGGCTGACGTTAGATTGAACCAGTCAACGAGCAGCAAACGATTGGTAGGTGTCAGAGCTACTGTTGCACAACACCCCCCCCCAGGTCAGAGACGATGCGTCACTGTCGTGACCGGCATATCGGTGGCGTGTCCGCTTCAGTCAGTATCAGTCAGTATATTTGGAGTAAACGACAGAAGCCCTGAAAACTCCATTTAGAGGGTACAGATGTAAGGGAAAATAGTTAAATTGCAAAGCTTGTAGTTTCAGTAAGGAGAATTCATAAATCTAATAATGTAACAAAAAGACGAAAGGGGTATGGCATTCGCGAAAGGATTGCGAAAAACTTTGTTCACCGTATTCGGACTGTGAAACTTTCCATATAGGATGATTTTGACGCACAAAAAAGGATCTGTTTAAATCCTGTTAGTAGTATAATTATAGTCATTTCAGTAATCCGTTAGACCAGGCTTCGGCAGTTCGGGTTGCCTTTCAGCAGGTAAGCATCCAGTTGTCTCTTGAACACGTTCACGGTAGGAGGATTTACAACATACTCCGTCAAAGAGTTCCATTGGCGAATGACCCTCTGTGAGATAAAGGAGGAGCGTTGAGTTGTGTGGCACAGTTCCCTTTTAAGCTGGTAATCATGTCCTCTGAGATTAGACTTGGGTGCCATTTCAAAAAACGTTTCCCAGTCGGCATCCAGATTAAGCCCTTTTACCAACTGGAACGTTGCTCTGAAGTCACCTCTGTCCTGCCTGTAATGGAGGGGATAGAGGTTCAAGGCCATTAGACGCTGCTCGCACGTGTCCAGTTAGCCTGTGTTGTATTTGCCGAGGGGTGGTGTCCCAGTGGCTTGTTTTGCTGGTTTCAGGGTGTGGGGTGCGTTTAAGTTGCCACATAGACTGCTGCGACTACGCAGGTGTGTTCGCTCTGAAGTCGGTCGAGTGGCTTCAGGTCAGCGCGTCTGGGACGGCTCGCTGCAAGGGGTGAATGACCTTGAGGCAATGAGGTCTAGAACAATGACGTCAGACCGGCCACGATGGCTGCCCACTACACGGTCTCGTCTTAGCACTTGATAACCATCTAACTGCATTTGGAGGTCTGTGACATCTGGGGTGAGCCAAGTTTCAGTTAATGCAATAATATCAGGACATAGTTCGGCCACAATTATTTTGAGTTCGTCGAGCTTATTAAAATGGCTTTGTACATTTCCGTAGACGAACTTAATTTTATGTAGGTTGTTGCGTCGAATTAGTTGCCCGGCCGTGTGGCCTTCGTCAGTATGACAGGCGTCCTCCACAGGAGGGGTCTTTGTCGTCGAACAATCACTCCATTCATTATTACTAACCCCTTCTCTCCTTGTTCTTTCAAGTTCGCCAGCTCCGCCTTCAGCGCCCTCCATTTCATTCTCTCTTGTACTAAGTAATCCGGTTGAAAAAAAGACCTCTATGGCCAGGGATCCCCCCTACTGTTCGTTCAAGTAGAAGATCCCTCTGGAGTTTACTTTCTAAAACTATCTTTAAAGGCCTTGGTTTCATCCCTTGAGAGCTTGCTCTATCGTTACTGTCTAGCTGGAAAAGTTTCAGAATCTAAATGGCTTCATCTTCTTTTTTTATGCTACCCAGACACTCTTGCAAGGGGTCATGATATCATCATTTATCCTACATCTGGGGTTATCGTCCGTGCTAATTCCTGTTGACTGTAGACATACGCAGACCACCTGAAAGAATTTCCGACCAGTGAACACTCTTTTTGTCTGTGTAATAGACAACCTATCCTCCCGACCGTGTCATCATAAACTCAAACTTGGAATAATCAACGGCCCGGTTAAACGAAGTAGTGGTCCTGTTAAGCGGCTTGAATTTGCCGCAGTGAATGCAATTTGTTTCCCCTCAACACTTAGCTGAAATAGGCAGCCGACCCAACTAGATGATATTTGGAAAGTCGATTTGGCAAACACGTGTTTTCGGTAACTCTTCATCAGGCCAAAACAGTTACATAGAAGTTGAAAGTATGCGAAGTTCACAGGGTTTATAAGTGACTCAGGTGCCATTAACACTCATTGTTCCCACGCCACCCGCATGCCGAGGTCGGCGTGTTATGGTCGTTGGGTGAAGGGGGGCGAGGGGGAGGGGTGACATAGGCTGTGAGTGACGTTTGCAAGTCGGGTATGTTGGGCAAACAACACTGCCATTAGGAGGCTGGGGCGACGTGCAATCATCATCTGGGGTCGGCGTTGGCTACTGAAGTCAGAGCGTCTGTGTCAACGTCTTCTGACAGCACAGCACTGGATTGGCCAGCCGTATAGCCACTGCCTCGGCTGTAGCTAGCACCCGCTAACATATGCCTCTGGAGAAGCTTGCTGGTGTCCGTTAGACAACCCGAAAGGCTTCTTTGGCATCGACTCGGTGATTCGTATCGACAAGATGTGCAAGAAATAGACTTCTTCTCACCTCTACCGTGCCAGGTCGGTATGCGTTCACGTATTCTCTTTTCCAGGAGCCTCGCTGCACGGCCAATGTATCCCGCTCCACAGGAGCAAGTGAATGAGTAAATGCACATCGATGTGGCCTACAACGGGAGTCGGTCTTTACCTCCCAAGCGTAGGAAGGGAGAGTTCGTGAAACACACGTGAATTCGCCGCAGGGAAAGCTGTCTTCAGACGTATTCTTACTAGGTCGCTTGCTGCGTTCCCTTGAAAAGTATTTATTTTCTGCAGTTGCCGTGGTGGGCTTTGCAGTGCGCTCCCCTATATTTCAGTGGATAAGTCTTTCTGGGTATCCGTGGAGTATATCCCGCAGCTGCTGGAGTTCTGCCTCAACAGTCTCAGGAGAGAAGATACATCGCACTCTAGCTGCCAATCTCTGAAAAAAAGTGCGTCTAATATTTAGGGGAACAAGACTGTGAAAGTTGATGCATTATCCCGTCCAGATTTTCTTTCGAAATACCCTACGCTGGATAGATCTATCCTCTGGGCTGTGCAGAAGAATATCGACGAACGCGATTTCGTTGTCCGCCTCAAACTCTACAGAGCACTTTAGCGAGGGCTGTGCACTGTTAAACTTTTGGACCAGCGCGTCTGTGCCGGTGGTAGTATCTGTCAGGCAGAAAATATCGTCCACGTACCGACCGTAGAAGTCAAGGTCACTAATAGTATCTTGCAACCTTTTCGTCTCGACTTTGCCCATGAAGACATTTGCGAAAAACGGACCGAGCGGTGAGCCCATCGCTACGCCGTCTATTTGCCTCTACAGTTGACCATTGCAAAGAAACAGGACGTTTTGCGTGCAACGTGTCCACTGGCATGCTTAACGGGTAGTTCGTGTCACGGGTAACGTCACAAAGGTAGTTTATTGTTTCGGCTACAAGTACATCAGTAAACAGTGATGCAACATCCAGTGATAGCATCGCCTGTCCATCAACATTAATATCCTCGATAGCCTCGACAAACTCCAAGGAATCCTTCAAACTTAGAGGGTACAAATGATTTTTCAGTGGTTTAAGCTTTTCGACTAGCCAATTTGCTATGTGTGATAGGGCGAATTCTCCATATCCAGGATTGGACATAGGGGTAGCCCGTGTTTGTGAATTTTTGGGAGGCCGTACATTCTGGGTATGGCCGTGTCCGCTGGTCTCAGGTGGATAAGTTGCTTGTTCTCGGTCATTTCAACGCCCGCATCGGCACAGACCATACTGTCTGGAGAGGAGGGCGGGGTCCTCATGGCGTCGGCGGCCTCAATAACAATGACCTGCTCCTCCTACGAACCTGCGCAGAACACCGCTTCTTATTTACCAGTACTTTCTTCTACCCACCGACGCGGAAGAAGGTGACTTGGATGTACCTTCGGTCTCGACACTGGCACCTGCTGGACCATGTCCCCGTCTGAGGGCGAGACCAGTAGGACGCGCTGGTGACAAAGGCGGTCCCGGGTGCCCACCCTCGTCTCGTCATCTTCAGGATGCGGATTCACCTACAGCCATGCAAGAAACCTCGAGGTAAGCGATCGCCAGGTAAGTTGAATATTGTTCTGTTTAATGTGCCTTCTCATTATCACCATTTCAGCAACGAGCTACCTCAGCGACTAGACAACCTTCCAGTCGCCGCCGCCAGAGAACCGATTGGGCCAACTGAGGGATACAGTCCAGACAAACGCCCTGGATGCCCTTGTCCGTGCAGGTCCGGACAGGTTCGACGACGTGGACGTCGCCATCAGCAATCTGCTCGCCGAGAACTGCCTGCAGGAAGCCTGCTTTAACCGCCCTACGAATGCAAACAAAGCAACCTTCTACTGAAGTCACCGCCTTGTACAACGGCGAGTGCGACAGATGCAGGAGGCCTGAACGGCTCCCAAGACCGAGGAGATCCAAGAGTAAGCGGACCGAAACAAATGGATGAACTTCTTCGCACCCATCATGGCTGTCTACGGTCGCACAGCCAAAGGAACCGCTCCTCTTTTCATCGCCCACAAAACTACCCTACTCACAGAGAAAATGCAAATTCTGAAGCGCTGGGGTGAGCACTTCAGAAGCTTCCGCAACCGTCCCTCAATCGTCTTTTACGCCTCCATCGACCGACTGCCACAAGTGGAGGCCAACGACGACCTCGACCTCGCGACTACCCTCCACGAAACCATCCGGGCCGTGAGCCAACTCTCCAACGGGAAATCGCCTGGGTCAGACGCAATCCCTGCTGAAATTTACAAGCACAGCGGTCCCGGCTTACGAGCCACCTGATACCGCTCTTTCAAAAGATTTGCCGCCAAGGACAAGTGCTCCAGGATATGAGGGACTCCACAGTCGTCCATCTTCACATGCGGAAAGGTAATCGCTGACCCTGCGAAAACCACAGAGGCATTTCCATCATCAATATCGCCGGGAAGGTCTTTGTTTGCCTTCTCCTCAACCGCCTTAACAGCCGTCTGGAACAGACACTTCTGCCGGAAAGTCAGTACGGCATCCGCCGTCATCGAGGCACCATCGACATGGTCTTCGATGCTCGCCGGATGCAGAAAAAGTGCCAGGAGATGCGGATCCATCTCTTCTCTACCTTCGTGGATCTGATGAAAGCCTTCGACATGGCGAATCGAGAAGGACTGTGGAAGATCATGCAGAAATTCGGCTGTCCCTGACGGTTCACCCAGATGATACGTCAGCTCTATGATGGCCTGTTGGTGCGAGTCACGGACAATGGAGCAGTCACAGAGGCATTGGCAGTGACCAACGGAGTGAAGCAGGGCTGCGTTCTCCCGCCTACCCTCTTCAGTCTCAAGTTCTCTACCATGCCGATGGACGCCTACCGTGACGAACGCCCGGGGATCCACGTTGTCTACAGGATGGACGGCCAACTCCTCAATCAGCGCGGATACACTTCCAGTCGCGTGTATCCACAGCTACCGTCCACTAACTTCTCTTCGTCAAGCGTTCAGCCGCCTGCAGAACGCCGTCTGGAATAGTTACGATCTTCCCCTTAACACCAGGTTCAAGATGTACGAAGTTGTCATCCTCCCAATATTGTTGGATGGAGTGGAGACCTGGATGGTGCCCAAAAAGCAGGCACGGAAGATTAACCGCCTACAATCTAACTGTCTCCGGCAGATACTTAAGCTGAAGTGGCAGGACCGGATCCCGGATACGGAAGTACTGGAACGAACAGGAATTCTCAGCAGTCACGCCGTGCTAAGAAAATTGCTACTGCACTGGAACGGCCACCTCGTGCGGATAGACGACGAGCGGCTATCCAATCGACCCTTCTATGGAGATGTCGTCACGGGTTCTCGTCGAAAGGAGGTCGAATTCGGCGCTACAAGGACACTCTAAAGACTTCCTTGAAGCGCCTGAAGGTCACGCCGGCAAACTGGGAAAGCCTCGCCCGGGACCGACCGGCCTGGAGGAGGAGAGTGAAGACATGAGCAGCGCCCTACGAAGCCAATCGTGCAACCGCCGCCAAAGCAAAACGTGCAGCTCGAAAGTCCTAACTGCCTCTGCCCCGCGACGCAAACACTCGACCGCCCCCAACATGCCCACGGTTTCAGCGAACAGCCCGGGTGCAAATCATTCTTATTGGACATCTTCGGACCAAGTGCAGCACTCTTGCGACACCAACTAATGCCTCCCCGTCGACCTCTGCCTCACCACTTATGTCGGTAATCAACCCTAACAGCGTTTCTAACTCCCGCCGTCAGCCTCCCTGCCTCAACGTCTGCTGCGACGGCTCCTGTCTCCATCGGCCCTACACGCGATCCTGACGTACCGTCAAAGATCAATCCCCTCATTACCTACACCAATAATATGGACTTGGTCCAAACCTGTCCTCATTGCGATCGCACATTCACCTCACACATCGGCCTGGTCGGTCACTTGCGAATCCACCGCACAGGGACTGGCGAACCGCTGCCTGCAGCATCAGCATACACCCGTCGCATCCGCCTTAACTACTCGCACTGCCCTCGCACATTCAGCCACCGCATGGGCCTGCTAGGTCACATGCGCATTCACGAAAACTGGCGGTAGACAACCGCCTACTCTACCATATTACACCTTCCTCCTCCAGCACCAACAACACACACAACATCACCTATCGCCGCACAACGTAAGCATTCAATTAGCATCTCTCACGCAAGTGGGAAGTGTACTTCCTGACCCCTTCTCCATGTGGCCCCTCTGCAGCATCTATGATCCAAGCCTGAGGCTATCACGGTGCGCCAAGCGCCGTGGCTTGGAAGGTTGCCGACTGACGCATCAACTTAACCCAGACAGTCTGCCCAGTTGCGTATTTGTGTTGGACTGGTGGGCTGAGAGCCAGGCTGCAACGGCTCCTTCTTAACGTGACCTCTGACACGCTCAAGCATGCGATTCAGCAAATCATGGTCCTCGCAGCCTGGCGTGCGCTGGCAATTCTCTCGCACCTGGTTCCCTGCCGGTAGATGCGCTAGCGCTCCAGCTGGGTATGCAGGCCGTGTGCATGGTTGCCAAGTGGCCTGTGCCATCCTCTCCTATTTCTGACTTATTTTTATTGTTGGTTAAAATCCTGGTCAAGTGTGTTTGTTGTAGACCAGGGGGGTTGGTGGTACCCCTAGGAGCGTGTCCAGTTGTGGACGCCACCCGAGACCTCTACCGCCCCCGGCCTTCTGGATATAGAGGTCAGGCGGGAAGAAGAGATTGCGGTAAATTTTGCACAAGTCTACTCTCACTATAAACTACAGTAGGTGGGCTAACTCATGAAATGTCAACCGAAATTCCGAAATACGTTTTCGTTTCGAAAAGATTATTTAAGTAGGGTTGCAAAACTAGTCAGCTTGCAACATAATTCTATAATATTTCAGTTACCTCAGGATGCCGGCTTTCGAATGAATTTCCTTCCGGCTGCATGCAAAAACTACACTCTGTAAAAAGCGGCTACATAAGTAGCATGAATTTTTCTCATTGATTTTCGATGCCCCTAAATGTTCAATAATATTTCATGGAAAACATGCATAAAAATATGCATTCTTTTGCTCATTCGGAGGAAAATTACGTCTCTTTCAAATTTTGTCCTAGAAGGAAGGGAATAATTGGATTTAAAAAAGTTTCCAATTGTGGGACTATTAAATACCGTGAAATGGCCGTTCATAAATCGTAATATCTCTGCATTTACCAATGTGGCCTGTAAAGTTAACAATATGGATCGTATCCACTGATAATTTTTATGAACCTTATATGGTTCCCCTTTATCACCGTAGAGGAATGTGTGATTTTCCGTACGCGGAAAATATACGGCTTGTAGTTTGGAAACCCTGAATCCAAGTATAACGGTAGAGCGGGTTCAAAATTATTCGGGAATTGGAAAAGTTTTCGAAAACCGAATTATACGCGGCCCTCGAGTATAAACTTGGGAGAAGACGTAATTTTCTACCGAATGAGCAGAAGAATGAATATTTGCATGCATGCCTTCCATGAAACATAATTGGACTTTTAGGGGCATCAATAATCAATGATAAAAAGTCATGCTACATAAGTAGTCGTTTTTACGGAGTGTAGTTTTTGATTGAAGCCGGAAAGAAGTTCATTCGAAAGCCCGCATCTTGAGGTAACTTAAATATTATAGAATTATGTTGCGGGCTGACTAGTTTTACAACCCTACTTAATTAATCTTTTCGAACCGAAAACGCATTTCAGTTGACATTTCACGAGTTAGCCCACCTGTGACAGTTCGACCATCGAGTTTGATGATGTCCACCGTGTGCCCCACAGCTGTAGCAGCGGTGGGGGCAGGGACGGTGACTTGCGCAGGGGTTTATAGTGCCGGTAGACTTACGATGTATCTACCTACACTCTCTCCTCCTCCCTCGCCCGAGCCCGGTGTCAAGACAGAGTCAAGAAGACCGGAGAAGAGGGAGGCCGCAGGTGGATGGCTCGGACGGATCCTCACCTTGGCGTTCCACCACACCCCCTGGTCCACACAACAAATAACCAGGATTCCAACCAACATAACCGAGATTGGAGGGTGGCACGACCGAAGCCGCACCTAAGCGTGCCGCCGACGCCTGGCTCGAATCCCACACTGTGGTGGGAGTACCATAAATGCCACATTAAAAAGGAGCCATTGCAGCCTGACTCTCAGACCGCCTCCAGTGAAGGAGGAGGTCCAAGGTACCCCGTCAGTTGGCAACCTTCCAAGCCACGGCTTTTAGCGCACCGTGATAGCTTCAAGCGCGTCAGATTGTTTATAGTGAGAAGAAAATGCGCTGAGTCGTCGACCTCACTCTCCCTTCCCACTCCCACACCCCAGCCGGTGTCCGAGCCGGTCAGCAGACTGGAGTGGGAAATGGGCGCGGTGGCTGGCATGGTCGAATGACCATGACTGCGCACGCCACGTGAACGACCTGACCCCCCATACACACACACAACACCAGGATTTCACACAACGGGGGTTGAACGGCGTGTCTCTCACTTGCGTGAGAGAGCCGTGGAAGGTGCTGTTTCAGCCCGTCGCCCAGCCCACCAGTCCGCCACTCCACACAACACACACACACACACACAACGGGACAAACTGCGTGGACCGAGCAGGGGCGTCAATCATCAACCTTCCTATCCACGACGCTTGACGTGTCCAGATAGTCTCGGACTCAAGTCACCCGTGCGGCCGAAGCCGCATGGGGACCGAGTCGAGATGCACACTTCGCACTTGTGTGGGAGATGGCAGTTGAGTGCTTGCGGTGTGTGAATGCTGATGTGTGGTGGTGGTGGAGGCAGGGTTTTGTGGTGTGGCCGGCGGTTGTCTACCGCAGGTAGTCGTGGATGCGCATGCGGCCGAAGAGGCCCATGCGATGCGTGAAAGTGCGAGCGCAGTGTGGGCAGTGGAGGTGAGCTTGGTGGATATAGGTTGGTGCTCCAGACACTGGTTCGCCAGTCTCCGTGCGATGAATTCGCAAGTGACCGACCAGGCCGAGGCGCGAGGTGAATGCGCGCGGACAGTGTGGGCAGGTGAAGTCGGTGGTGTTAGTGTCAGTTGCTATGACGGTGATGGGTGATGAAGTGGGGATGGGGTTTGGCGTGGTGGGTGAGTCGGGAAGGCGGTCAATTCCGCTCTCGTGGATGCGCATGTGGCCGAATAGACCCATGCGATGCGTGGAGGTGCGAGGGCAGTGTGGTCAATGGAGGCGAGTGCGGTGGGTGTAGGTTGGTGCTCCTGGCACTGGTTCGCCAGTCTCTGTGCGATGGATTCGCAAGTGACTGACCAGGCCGATATGTGAGGTGAAGGTGCGGTCGCAGTGAGGGCAGGTGTAGCCCTGGTCCTCACCCCTGGAATCGGAGGGATGGTGTCTGTTGTTGTGTCATGGATGCGTGCGATGCTGGTGGGTGACGGCCACCAGAGCGGCCGTGGTTGGTGCAGTGGGGCAGGAGGAGGAAGAGGCGGGGGAAGA